AAAAAAAAAAAAAACTCTCAATGATAGGAACTATGAAAAATTTAAATGAGTGTTTGCTGATGAGGGCAATTTCCCCCTGGCGTGGGGCCGGAGCAGGAGCGCTAGCTGGCTCCACTGAGGAGGAGGGTGCAGTAAACTCAGAGGACGAACGCGCAGGCTCTGGGTCCCGCCGTGATCACGGGCTCCACGCTGGGGCCTGCTCTGACACCTTGAGAAACTTCCTTACTACGCATTTCTGTTTCCTCATTTATAAAACAGGGATAGTATAATAACAGCATCTAGTTTAGCAAGTTATTCTGATGACTAAATAAAATTTACTTCTTTATTTGTTTATTTTTATTTCAGAATATTACAGGGGTACAAACGTTTTGGTTATATGAATTGCTTTGGTACAGTTCGAGTCAAAGTTATAAGTGTGTCCATCACCCAGGTAGTGTGTATTGTACCCATTAGGTGCGAACTTATCCATCCCCTCCTACCCCTCCCAACTGCTTGATTTTCTTTGAATTTTACTACCATATGTGCACATGAGTGTTGATCATTTAGTTCCAATTTAAAAGTGAGTACGTGTGGTTTTTGTTTTTCCATTCTTGCAATATCTCACTTAGGAGGGTGGTCTCCAGTTCCATGCAGGTTGTTACAAAAGGTATTAGTTCACCATTTTTTATGGCTGAGTAGAACTCCATGGTATACACATGCCACATTTTACAAATCCACTCATGTATCTATGTGCACTTGGGTTGTTTCCACAGCTTTGTGGTTGTGCATTGTGCTGCTGTAAACATTCGAGTGCAAGTGTTGGACCTACCATTTGATCCAGAAATCCCACTACTGGGTATTTACTGAAAGGAAAAAAAGACATTTTATATATATATATATGAATAATACTAAATAAAATTTAAATGCACCTAGAGGTTGTCACATAAAAATAGTTCAATTAATGTTAACTATTACTCTGCCATGTGTTCAAAAAGATATTTTCTGATTTAACTCTTCATGTATATTTACATACAGGAAAAGATGGGCTAACTGGCAATTTCTATATTATTCATTTCTTTACTATTTTATTTAGCTATAGCTGAATATTATAATGAAAATTTCATGGTAGCAGGGATTTTCTCTGCTATCTTTGATTCAGTATGCCGCACGGGTCGTGCAGATGCGCTGCGTGGCCACACCCGTCACTAGGGCTTATTTTTGGGGTAGGGCTTCTATTGCGCACATGCTTAGAAATCCTGCTAGGGCTTGTTTTATGGGTAGGTCTTATTTTTAGGGAAACACAGTAGCTCCTCTATGTAAAGTGGGGAGAAGCCAGTTACTCTCTCCCATTTATTTCAATGTAAGTAGAAAAATTAATTATAAAAGAATACAGATTGAAAGAAGATGCTTTTGTAAGGGAGAACCCCTTCTTACCGGCCGGGCACCGTGGCTCACGCCTGTAGTCCTGGCACTCTGGGAGGCAGAGGTGGGAGGATTCCTTGAGGTCAGAAGTTTGAGACCAGCCCGAGCAAGAGCGAGACCCCGTCTCTACTGAAAATACACAAAGTAGCCGGGCATGGTGGCGCGTGCCTGTAGTCCCAGCTACTGGGGAGGCTGAGGCAGGAGGATCGCTTGAGCCTGGGACTTTGAGGTTGTTGTGAGCTAGGCTGACGCCACATTACTCTAGCCTGGGCCACAGAGCAAGACCCTGTCTCAAAAACAAACAAACAAATGAAAGACCCTCCTTCATGTTCAATGCCATTTGTGCCTAATATGGATACGAGGGAACGAAGGCTTGGAATCGTGAGACCAGTTTCGCTCCCGGCTTCAGTCCTGACGACGACTGTGGAGGGTCACTCCATCGGCCAGTGACTCAGGTGTGCCGCCCGCACGGCGAGCGGATGGGGAGGAGGAGAGTGGGAAGAGACGAGTACTAAAAGATCTGCTCTCCCGCCTCTTAGCGCTGTGGAGAAGGAGGAGGCTGACATATGACTATTCTTCGAGCTGTCTGGAGGGAGGACAAACTAGGTGGGCTTTTGCTGCCTATTTTTACTGCTGGCATCCGGGAGAGTGCAAGTAACACCTTGACAGGCAGAGAGGGGACAAAGCAGCCTTCTCTGACAGCTAGACTCCCTCGCAGGAGGAGAGACTCGGTCTCCTGGCATCAGTGGCTAACTGGGCCGATGAGGAAGGGCGCTCCTCACGCCCTGGCGGCGTCCCGGGTGCGAGCCCCGGCGGTGCCGGCTGCGGCCAACTGCAGACCCTTCTGCTCCTCTCCCCGGCTCTTTTGGGCCACAGGCAAGTGACACGCATGACCAGCCGGGATCGTTAAAAGATCTGTTCTGATGGGTAAGATCCCTGCTCGTCCAGCCGTTCAAAGACTTCCCTGGCCTTGCCCGACAGTCCACCATTTTCCTTCACACTCGTGCACGTCAACCAGCGTCTCTCTGTTCTTCTGGGAGAATCAAGACCTTGCCTGCCTCAGGGCCTTTGCACAAGTTGAGCTGTGTGCCTGGGGTCTTTTTCTCTATCACTTTCTTCACCTGTCTACTTCCGACTCACCTTTGAGGTCTCCATTTAAAAGTCAGTTTACCAGAGAAGCCCTCCCTGCCCTTCCGACCTGGCCAGTGCTCACTGCTTTATGTTCTCCTGGTATCCTAGACACCCCATTTATTTAAGTAGTTATTTGTCTGCTTCCCCTAGCCTGAGAGCTAAGCAGAGAAAACCCATATGTTTCACGTCTTGTTTCCATCTGTCTGTATCTCTTTCTCTCCCCTCAGTAAACCTGTGGGGAGCCATGTGAACACAGAGCTGCTGTTTATCCGGTGTGTATCTGTGTGTCAGGCAGTGCTAAGGATTCTACCCAGATTTTCTCATTTTTTTCCCTACCTAAACCACCTAAGCAACCAGAAGACATGGAGCATGTGGAGAAGCAGGAAGCTAGATTCAGTTATTCATCCACTTGACAGATACTAACTAAGCACCTACTATGCCCCACCATACAGTGTTTTGAAGACGAGCAGCCCTTCTCATCTGCCCCACCGTGACAGCTGCTATCCCGGAGGTGACCGGAAAGGTGCGGGCAGCCCCACCAACAAGGTCGGCTCCCCCTGTTGGGTCCCGGCCACCCTGTGCGTGCTGCGAGCTGAGGCTTTGAGGGGAAAATAACACAGCCCCTGAAAATAAGCCCTAGGGTGTCTCCTTGAGGAAAATTAAATATAAGACCCTGTCTCATTTTCGGGAAGACACGGTATCCCGAGGTCCAGTCTGTATCCAGCTGCTCCCTGGGCATCGCAGGCTCCCTGTCCCGTGAGCCTCTCTAGCTCTTCAGGCCCGGAACAGAGATCACCTCGTCCCGCCCCAGTCCCGTCCCTCTTTCTGCATTTCTCGCCTCAATACCGCTGTCCCTCCAGTCGCCAACCCACCCCTTCCCCGCCTCACCCCCAGGGCCCACTCGTCAGAACACAGGCCCTCAGCTTCCCAAACGTCCCTCGGAGAGGTCCCGCCCTGGCGCAGCCCCAGCCACCCCCTCTGGCTCCGTTTTTGCCCACGGAGCTGCACTGTCGGCTGCGACTGTCCTCTCGCTGCAGCCCAGCGCCTGCTCCCTCCACTCCCGCCCCTCCCGCCACGCTAGCCCTGGAGCCGGGGACCCCCGGCTGCCCCACCCCCCGCACGCACTGCACGAGAAGTCCAGCCTCTGCCCTGCACCCCAGCGCCTTCACGACACGGCCCTGCCCGCCTCTCGGCTGCCCTGTCCCGGACGCTCCTCGGGCTCCGGGCGTGCCAGATGACACGCTGGTCTCCTGCGCACGACGCGGCTTCGTCACTACTGGCTCATCTCCTCCTGCACCCCCCCTCCCTCCCCGGCCTCCTCCCTGGGCCTCCGACCACCAGGGTGCAGGGCCCGGTCCCTGGGTCCCTTGTGTGTCGTCTGCGCCCCACGCCCACCGCACCCCTGCCTCCAGCTCGGAAGCAGAGCTGGGAGCTGTCTCGTTAAGTTCATGGGTATGTTCCCAGCACGTAACACAGCGCCTGGCAATCGGTAGGTGCCCAGTACGTTTTTTGTTGACTAAATAGCACGCATAAAACCTACGTGTTATTGCACATTTTTCTCAAGTATTCTCCCGTGTCTGAAATAACCTAATTCGTCCTATTCACCCTCATTTGCAATCCCATGGACACTTTCTTACTTCAAACATTTCTTGGTTACCTGTCGGTCTCCCCTGCTTCTTGGGTCAAAGGATGCATCGCAGCTTACCTTTCTATGCCTCTTGCCTAAGACATACCAGAAAACTTACAGTATACTTATAGTAAACATCTGTTGAACTCAACTGACCTGAATAACGTATTCTAGGCAGAGGTCCTAAGCACATAAACCGGAGGCAAACTGACCAGAATTACACAGAAGAGCTCGTTTCTGAGCCATAGGTCACCTCGGTTCCATACGTCCTTTTGCTTAAACTCGGAGGCACTGTTGCAGCGATCTGGATAGCCAGGAGAGTCAGAGGCTAATTTTTGCAAGTTCTAGTTTGCTAGGGTTTTAGAAAATGCAACTTGGTGTTGAATAGCTGGTCTCAGACCAGACGGCTGACACATTAGGGTTTTAGAACTGGGGATTCGCCTCGACTAACAGAAAAGCAGGGGAAGGGAAGGCGCCACTCGGGTGCTGACGTATATGAGGACAGTGTGCGTCGATCTCACATATATTCACTCGCTTTATCCTCACAACAACCTTGTGAGGGATGTCATCATCTCTGTTTCATAAATAAGTAAACTGAGGTGCAGAGAATTAAATAACTTGTCCAAGGTCCCATAGCAAGTGGGTCGCAGGGCTAGAATCTGACAATCCCAATAGCCACAAATCCCAAGCGGTTTCCCAGCCCCACGCTGCCTCACTTCCCACCGTGTGGGAGTTGTGTTCTCAGAATCCACTTTCTTTGCTCTTCTAGCTAGAGTAGAAAAAAAAAGAAAAAGAAAAAAAAACAACAAATCCACTTTCTCTCCGTCCTGAGCTCACCCACCTGTTTCACTGTCTTTGCATCTCTGGTGTTTGGTTGTCCCGCAGCCCCTAGCACAGTGTGCGGTGTTCTCTGTAACTCACTCCTTCTTTTAAAGTGCTGGCCCTAGGTAAGCATGAAACCGAATAAATTTAGTGCAGACTTGCAAATGCCCAGAAGTGCCAACCCAGTCCACAGGACTCCACGAGTCCCTTAAATGAGCTCCCTGAAGACGGCCACCCGTGACGTTCAGCGTGGATGGAGTGTCCGGGACCAGGCATGGATTAAGGAGGGTAGCTCAGTCATCCTGGATCGGAATCTTTACATTTCCTGCTCAAGGATTTGTAATTGTCTTGGGCAAAACGAAACAAAAACGAAGGCGCAGACATCCAGGGAAGGTGGGAGGGCCGAAGCAAAATGCAACGCCACCCGGTGTAAACGGCCCGGCCATGGCTCTGCCTTCTCTCAGGGCTGCGCGAAGAACAATCTAGTTAAAAGCAAAGACAGAGCAGCTCCTTCCGTCCTTTAAGGAGGATGGTGGTGGAACAGCAAACTTGCCAAAGCACCAGCAAGTCTCTTCCACAGACTAAACTGGGTTCGGCTGTGTGGGAGCCGTGGCTGTGGTGACTGCTGGGACAAAGGGCAGGGGAGCGAAGGGCTGGCGTAGGACAGGAGGCCACATGCAAGGGACAATCACTGGATCCACTCCCTTAAACCCAGCCAGGAAAAGCATCCGGAGAGACACTTCGTAACGCAAAAGCTTGGCTGAGCGGAAACACAAAGACGGCAGTTATGTGGCCCCAAGGTCAGCAGTGAAACACGTGTGCCCTGGTGGAGGTGGCGGAAGCTCCCAGAAGCTTCACCTCCGGGACCTGCTGGACACCCCCAAGACAAGGGTGAGCAGCGCTCGGCCTGCAACCAGGAACAGTCAATCTGTCGATCGCTGAACGCCGTGGATGCTCTCTCCAGTTTGACACCCTGTCATTTGCTCTGTCACCAGTGACCCTTGGAATGAAATGTTCATCCAATTTTATGGCTGGGAGAGGCTTTAGAGATGCATCCAATCCACCCCCTCATTTTCCCGATGCAGCTTCTCAGGCATAGACAGATTGCAGGGAATTCAGTTTCTCAGCTTTTATGAGGATGTGAAGTCCCAGTGCAGAAAACGTACTCTGGACTGTCCGGGATGGCGCTGAATCTCCATGCCTCGCCTGGTTGCCCCGTGAGCACACCTGTGTCTGCCAGAGCATGTGTTCCAAGGTGGGATTTGGAAAAATATGATCACCTTATGGCTCAGAAAATAATGTCCAGAAAATTAAAAGTGTTCATAAAATCTCGTTTGGCTTTTGCATGCAAGCTGAGGTCCATAAGCTGGGGAAGAAAGAGAGTAGGAACTTGTTCTCCTTTTCTCACTTTTTAGCTTTTATGGAAATATATGTTTTGAGGGAGAAACTATGAGCATCTGGAGGTCCCACTGGAGCTCTTGATAAAAGTGAGTGCGATGAGGGAGAAGGGGAGCAGGTACGTGAAACACAGTGACTCAGCATTTAGCAGGTCACGTCTAGGGCCACACCAGCCTGAACATGCCTGATCTCGTCCGATCTTGGAAGCTAAGCAGGGCCAAGCCCAGTTAGTACTTGGATGAGAGTTTGGAGTTAAGCAGGTCACCAAAAATCTCCACGAACACAACAGCTCTCAAGAATAGAAGAATGCTCTTTGAACTGCGATTGGATCCAGCAATCCCACTACTGCTTATCTACTCAAGGGAAAAGAAACTGTTATATAAAAAAGATGCCCACACTTACATGTTTATTGCATATGTTTACTACTCACAATAGCAAACACATAGAATCAACCTAAGTGTCCATCAGCAATAGCGGTTCAAGAGAATGTGATGTAGATATAGAGAGATGTATGTAGTGGAATACTACTCGGCCACAAAAAAGAATAAAACCGTGTCTTTTGCAGCAACTTGGATGAACCTGGAGGCCACTGTCCTAAGTGGGACAGCTCAGACACAGAAAGTCAAATCCCATGTGTTCTCACTTACAAGTAGGAGCTAAACGTCACGCACACAGGGACCTAGAGTGTGGAAGCATAGGGTCTGGAGACTCAGAAGAGTGGGAGGGTGGGACTGGGATGGGGGTGAAGGAGGAGAAATTACTTAATGGGCACAACTATTTGGGTAACCATCGAGTTATCCAAAAACCCAGACTTTTTTCTACTACACAACGTGTCCATGTGACAAAACTGCACTGTACCCCCTTACATTTATAAAAATTAAGAAATAAAGAAGACAAACACTCTTTGAAAACCCGATCTAAATATATTAGGTCCGTGTAGCATAGCTGGTGGCTGGGGGCGGGGCTGAGTGCGGGAGACGCTGGGAAGGAAATGGGGGGACATCGAGCGGCCTGCTGCCTTGGGAGCCCCACGGCTGCGAGAAGGGGCCTGTGGCGGTGAGCACACCGGACCCCGAGGAAGAAGGACACAGTCACATAGAGTGAGCTGCAGGCACAGTCTCCTTCCTCCGGGAACCTGCTTCCTCCGCCCGGCGAGGGACAGAGTTTCTGGGAGCCTCCCCTGGGGTCCGACAGGTTGGAGCTAATGAAGCAGCCGGGAGAAGAGTGCGGAAAAGCAGACCTCGCTGTGTGGGAGGAAAGTAAAGCCCACAGCGAGCTCAGGACACTTCGCCTTTAAAGAGGGCGGAAGAGAATAGGGAGCCTTTGTCTCAGCACAGCTCGCTGTTTACACTGAAAATAGAAACAGGCAAACTAAACTGCCTGCAGGCTGCCTTCCTCCTTCCTTATTCTTTCTTCCGTGGTGCAGTGCTTACCCGTGCAAACATCCGGATCCTAAAAGGACATTAAATATTGGTTGATGGAATCTTATAATCCGGGAGCAACCCGGAAATGTGTACAAAGCATGCCTGAGAAAACTCTTAATTCTAAAAGCATTGCAAGTATGGTATTTCTGAGCTAGAAGGAGAGCCAGAACCTCTAAACATTTCCCAAGCTAAATTATAAAACATTACTTGGTCCTAAAATCTAAGCAGTGGTTTGGGGGTGTTTTCTCATATTACTGGCACCTTTTTAAAGCGTGCATAACATAAGAGAGAAACTGTACTGCCAGTTAAGGGGAGATCTCTTTCTAGACCATGACCTGCCTTTTCCCCACTTGCACAATAAAAAGGGGTGTGTGCTGATGGTGCCTGTCCAGATAAGGAACTTGCTCACTGCTGTGGCCCTTCACACCTTTCTTTCACTGAGCTGTTATCTGATCACGTAGCTAGGGGCTGCCTTTTAAAATGAACGTTGCGGCCTCCGTTTTGTGGAAAGCAATGAGAACTGCACAGCTGGAACAGCTGTGCTATCAGTAAAGGGGCTGAAAAGAGACTGACGCTGCACAACTAGCAAATTTGAGTTTGCACCTTCAGCTGTTGCCTATGTGTCACTTGCCCCCGTCCCCACAGTCTTCTTCTGAAGAGGACAGCTGGGCCCCCAGCATGTTTGCTTCCTGTTTCTTCTGTATTTCCCCTTCCCATTCGAGGCTCAACGTGAGGAGATTATGACCTTTCTAGTCACGTGTGTATGTGTGGGTCTTGTTTACTATGGACTCATCGTTTTTTGTGTACATGTTTCTCCCCGAATGGCTAGATTATTAGCCCCGTGACAAGCAACCCCTCATACTTATTGTCTTCAAAATCCACGCATGGTGCAAAAGGCTCACCACAGAGCAAGAAATGAATGTATTGCTTTTCTAAACAAACAAACAAAAAAAAATGAATGAGCATAGTTTTTGTTTTTTGTGATTGAATGAATGAATGAATTTTTGTTTCTGGCTGAACCCGCCGGGGGGCCCCACGTCATGGATCCTAGAAAATCGTGTTTCACGTTGGCAACTCCACCTGCTACCCTTTGATTTGAGAACGGGTCTATTTATACAATGGGTATACACTGAGATGTGGACAGAAACATTTCACCCCTGTATATTTTGGGTTCTAATTATTCACCTCGGATTACATCAGTCTTTCCTTTTCTTTCTGATCCCCCCAGGACAGAACATTATTTCATCCCGTGAGCAACAGCTGCATGGATTGCAACCCCGCAGAGAAGAAGATTTTCATGGCCAGATGTGACCCTCTATCTGAGACTCAGCAGTGGGTTTTTGAACACATTAATATGACTGTTTTAGAAAAGTTTAATCACCATGCCAGCTCCTAGAAAGAGAGAAGGAAGAAAGAAAGAGTGATTACCTACAGATTCTAAACTAAATTTTAGCCAGTATCTGGGTCGAAGGAGTCAGGAATAACATTTCCTAGATCCAGGAAGGCTGGTTTAAAGAATTGTAAATGCCGTGTCAAAGTAGGTTGTCTTGAAGAACTTCCTGCATCTGAAGAACTTGGCTGAGAACCTCACCAGCTGCTTCTGAGAACTCGAGACTAGCAGTTCCCTTGCTGGCCAAGGGCAAAGATTATCTAGGGACTTCTCAAAACAACTGCTGAGTTAATAAATCCTAGCATTTCTCAGGTCAAATCCTGCAGTAGTGAGTAGCTATGAATGGATCCTACTAATCGGGTGGGAGGGGGGTGGAGACAGAGTGCATGACTGCTCTGACCACCTGAGGACTCCACGGGTTTAGAACTAGCCACGCGTGAGGGGTGAGCTGTACTCTTTGGTGCCATTCTCTAAGGATGGGTTAAGCAGGTTGAACCCTTAAAAGTGCTGCAGATGATTTTAGAGTGCTCATACCTTTTCGTTTCCTTTTGTTTTATTTTTAAATGAAGGTGCAATATCTAACGTTAAGACTTAAATTACATAATGAAATGGACTTCCGGTGTTCCCATTCTTTTGTTTACATTTGCCATTTTCCTTTCGGAGCAAAGGTTACTTATTGTTCATGAACCCATATGCTCCATAAATCAACTGAATTTCTAATGCAGTGCCCTTCTATGAATCCAGTTAGAAACAGAAACAAAAAACTATGCTGCCACGTTACTCCAAAGAAAGATTTCACAGAAGCAGCAAAACCCTATAAGATTTAGGAGAGAGATTTCCTAGGATATCAAAAATTTTACTTTTCTATTATTTTTAGAATTTTAAAAGTCTGATGTTTGTCCAATCATAATTTCTATTAAAGAAGGAAATGGAGTGAGGTTGATGTCATTTGTTTAGGAGATTCTTAAACCCAAATAAACTGACACTCCAAGTGACGTGTGAAAATGGGCTGGTTCACTTCAACTATTTAGTCAGTGCTGGGAACTTAGAAGTGGCTTTATTTATTTGTTTGGGTTTTGTTTTTGTTTTTCTTCTTTTGTATTGTTGCTATTAATGATGTTATTTTATTTGGAGGCTCATAAAAGGAATTACCATTAATAAAGAGCTTTTGACACCATTTTATGTTACTGGGACAATATTTCGGGGGAAGAAAGGAACGATTCAGAAACTAAATGGAACATTTAATCCTTAGTACAATTTTTTTACTTTTCAAGAATGATGGGTTGGAGGAAGAATATGCAGGTATCAATGTAGGTCTCTAGAAGGAAGGATCATGTTCATTATATATATTTCTCGAGTTTTTTCAGGTACAAAAATGTTTTTACTTTGCTTTTGTTGTTTTCTTTTAACTTGGTTTTCCTGTTAATAAAAATTTATATAACATCTTGGAGCATCTAAGAGCATTGACTCTTAGCCCTGGGAGGACTCCTAGGATCCAGTCTCTTTGTTTTTTCAGATAAATAACAAAAGCCCAGAGAGGCCAATTCCTGGCAGGACTGATGTTCTTCTGTTCTTCTGACAACTGGTCCTGCGTTTTCTCTCCTATGACGTGTTGCCTCACTCTGTACTCAAGCGGGTTCTAGATCTGACTCTGATTTAACTTGAAATTTGCAGTCACTACATGAAAATACTCTGCCTCCCTGGGACTGTCCACAAGAGTAGAATTCATGTTCAGAAACTTTAATACAGTATATGAAACCTCTTCTTGTAAATGTTCATGATTTTGTTCTCTCCTCGAAACCTAATCAAAACGTCCAGTTAAACTACACTGCTAATAGCCGGGGAAGAGTTATTTCATTATCTTTACTGATTTTTCAAGCATTCTTTTGAAGGGCATTTTTTTTTTTAAAAAATGACTGTCACAGAGTTATTTCACGTAGGTCAAGAGATGGTGAAGCATTCGAGATGCGCAGTGGAGAAAATCAATAGTGAGAAATTAAACTGTGTGTTAAACAACTCCAGGGGGTGGGTGAAGATTTATCTCAAGTGTTCAGAGAGCAATCTGGTTGTAGAACTAGATGAGCCTATAAAAATCCACATTATGTCACTAGACAGTTGACTGCCATCTACAATGCTACCTAAGAGGCAGCCCAGATTTGCAGCGATCTCTTAGGATGCTGTAATCTCGGGACGCTGGCCATAGCAGGCTGGCATTGTCCTCGGAGAAAGCCTGAGCACATTGCACCCTTTCAGTGTGGCACGCCGGGATCAGCAGAGACTGGCCTCCTGATCTCCCAGTAAAAGAGTGTAATAAAGGAAATTAGCATTTAAAAAAATTTAAGGGAAGATTGAGACATTAAAGCCAAAATTAAAACTTCAGACTGTCGAGCAATCATGAAATGTGTGCAAACAGGAATTAATAGGATGGAGTGAAGCCTGGAGACTCTCCCGCTACGCCAGAGGGCGGGCGCTGCCCACCAGCGCCTTGAAGGCGGCGTCTCCTGCACCTCTGAAGGCCGAGCCTCTGCTCCCTGGAACCCCGCTGCCGCCGTTCTCCGCGGGATAAAGCTGTGTATTCATGCGTTTGTGTTTTTATTTGCCAAAGGAGACCGAACAGTGCTCAGAAAGATCCTCTTTCCTGGAAATAGCAGGATTTGAGAATTGGACGGTAGGGAACTGACCTACCCTTTTATCAGAATGGGAGGAAAAACCATAAAGTTAATCTAGCCTCGGAGATTGCTACTTCTCCATAATAAAAAATGGTCTTGTCAGAAGTCAGAATAAAGCTGATTTTTAAAACTGTTTTTATGTAGAAAAAGAATATAGCACAGAGGAAAAATTGTCATAAAACAATTATGAACTAAACAATAAATGCTGGATTTATCCTTATTCCAAGGCTGGATTAATACCATGGCAATAACTGGCTTCTATGTCTACTGCCATTTAAAAATATTTTTTGTTTGTTTTTTTCTTTTTGTTGTTGTTGTTGTTGTTGTTGTTTTTGAGACACAATCTTACTCTGTTGCCCAGGCTAGAGTAATGTGGTGTCAGCCTAGCTCACAGCAACCTCAAACTCCTGGGCTCAAGCAATCCTCCTGCCTCAGCCTCCTGAGTAGCTGGGACTATAGGCATGTGCCACCATGACCGACTAATTTTTTTATGCATATATTTTTAGGTGTCCAGCTAATTTCTTTCTATTTTTTAGTAGAGATGGGGTTCTCGCACTTGCTCAGGCTGGTCTCGAACTCCTGAACTCAAACGATCCGCCCACCTTGGCCTCCCAGAGTGCTAGGATTACAGGTGTGAGCCACCAAGCCTGGCCCATTTAAAAATATTAATATCATCACATGACTGTTTTAAAATGTATTCACTATATCAGAAGCCTCAGTAAATAATGCAAGTTCCAGGATTATTTTATGAATTGATAACACCAGATAGAACTTTGTACTCTAAGTGAATAACCCAGAAGGAAAATGAATTTACAGTCAGCGAAAGTGGGTGTTGGGCCCGTTCTTTTCATCGGTTTCCTGCAAAACTCAAAACCAATGCCAACACTTGACACGGTTTCCTTTAGGGGCAATTAGAGGTTTTAAAAGAAGATAACAGCCAAATAAAAAGTAAATATCTATTATGCTCTCCCATGAAAAACTTCCATGTCAATCTCTTTATAACTACCTCTATAAGGAAACAGCAAAGAGGAACATTTTCTTGGAAAGATTGTCACTGCAAAGTTTATGGCAGACCCATCAAAAGAGCCAATGACACTTTGACAACAAAGCCAGCTGTTTAGGGGTCCGGGAGGGCTGCACCTGCCCTCCCGTGTGACACTCCTGGCCCAGGACTGCACACACCTGAGGACTCGGGAGAGTGTTGATGACAGGGCTGCCCCAGCTCTGCCTTTGACTTCCTGCCTTGTTGCAAAATCTTTCCCAGGGGTAGGCAGCTCCCCGACCCTCCCCTGGGGGCGGGGGAGGCCTGGGTCATATTTTTTCAGAATTTAGAACTAATAATATGTAATAATATTGTAAGCATGGATTTATCCCTAAAGGCCCATTTAGTAAAATCTCTTTAGGCGTCTTCCCCTGGCAGGAATACATCATAACAAGGCTGCACACACTTCCATACGCAGGTGCCGGAGCTATGCTGGAGCCGGGGCGTTTTGCATAAATCACGAGAAGGAATGCCTCAAAGGGAAAATAGTTTTAAGTGATTTCCGGCGATTCCGGGCGTGCGTATAAACGGCGGCGAGGGGTAAATCGTCTCTCTAGATAGATACGGGGCACATTCTCCTCTCCGATCACCTCACCAACAAGTTGCGCCCTCGCCAACATCCCTCTCAGCTGACACCCCGAGCTGTAATTACTCTCCGTGTGCGAGACCGGCTGAGGGCACCCAGGCGCGACAAGTGGCCAGTCCTTCCACACACCGCTGGCTGACGTTGGAAGATTGCTCTTTGATTTATGTCCGCAGCCTCTGCTTGCAGCGCTGGGAGCTGTCTGCGACTCTATCTGGGCCACTCGGCACTGGCCTGAAGCTTTTATCCGCAGTCACTCCTCTCCACGCTGGGCGCAGCAGACTGGTGAGTCTGGCCCCGCAGCCTGCAGCAGACGGCAGCTGGGGCACGTGTTTGATCCTCCGCCTCAGACAGACCCGGCAGCAGGTGCCCCCTCGGCTCTCGGCACAGTGGCTTCCTGGGGCTGCTGCAGTCCTCGGTCTCCTCGGTCTCTGCTCGCTCCAGCAGAGCACCCCGCCCGCCTCGTGCAGAAGGCCGGTTGCATTTCAGCATCTTGTTGACGATTTTATTCTGACGTTACTCACCTTGAGAGGGGCTATCAGGGCTGAGCAGCACAGGCGCTAGGTCACCTGTGCCTCTGCACGCTCTACGTTGTCCTGTGTGGTCATGACTCTTAAAAGTGTCCTGGTTTGGATGGTAAATTATACTGTTGCCCTGCTTATAATCCACCTGGCTGTTTAGAATGCCTCTGGGAAAGTTAACATGTCTTTTGCTTATTAACGCCTATAGTCTACAAGAAATCGTTTAGACTTACCCCTTCTCATCAAACAGGACCAGATAAAACCAGCTTGCCGATGACTGCCTATTGCATTCACGTGGTTCGTCACGAGTGGCTTAATAGAAGCTTTTTAATTGAGAGTTCCTATGTCCACCTAAATCTACTTGCTGAATTAAGACAATTCTAATTTATATGGAGGTTTTTTCCCATAATTTAAAAGATCCATTTTGAGTCAACTGAGTGATTTTGTACTTTTCCAATCTAAAAACAGTACATCCCCAACATGGACAATGAGCCACTTTATTA